GCGACGACCAAATCGCGTGAACTCTGTCTTGGGCCTAAGACGACTTAGGGCTTAGATAGCCCAAAAAACATTACATCTGCTAGTCTTGTATTGCCAGATTCTAAATCAGAATGCATAGTTGCTTTGAAAGTTATTCTCTTCTTGTAGTATGTTAGATTTCTCTTTCAAAAAATGAATTTTTAGGCCAAGTCTACAGCCGGTCTCGATCTCTCGCCTTCTCGTTTATACTCCCTTCATATCCGCCACCGCGTGTGCGAGTGACCGCCGCTTTTGAGCGTCGTTGTCGCTACGACACACGTGTTCTCGCCTCTACCATATCGCTAATCGCCTTGTCTCGCGTCGCTACTAGCGTCGCGTGTCGCCCCGTCGCCGTCGTTGCCAAATCGCTTCTACCGCCACCACTACCGTGCAACTGGTCATCACCTGAAGAGATAGCACGCCGCGTCGGCTCCAACCGCCACATTCCACCCTAACTCGACTAAACAGATAGCTAGGGTAAGTTTTTTCTGTTTTTTGAACTTTTTTTCAAACTACCAGCAGGCTTTTCTTTTGTTTTGAATCATTTATGAGTGGGGATACGGTGGCATCACGGTAACGATACGGTAGCGTTACGGTAAATGTTAACTCACTCCAGCTTCTGTATATTTGAGCTGATTTTCAGTTTTCATCATAGTGTTTTATTGCTTATTAGATAAAAACAGCCGTTTTCTGAAGGATATGGGGATTTTTTTCGTAGTAATTCGATTTTTTAACGCTTTTTTCCCTACTGTAAGGTCACGGTATATTGCTATCCGGTGAGTACCGTATCCGCACTTTTTGGTGAAAAAACCTGCTGGATGGTATTGTGGAATAACGATTCAGAACTATAGTCTTGACGATGATATCATATGTGCATTTTTAGAATATAAAAAGCTACCCACTTGCTGCATGATCGAGCGACGTCGCCTCCCATCTGCATCGTACTGTTCGCCTGTTGAAGATGAGCATTGGTCACGTTGTCTGTTCGCTGAACAGCCTGTAGTGATCATAGGCGGAAATCGCGATGCTAAACAAATGGCACGTCATGTCGCTAATAAATTGGTAGGTAATTAGTCTCATATTTTGTTTACGAATTTTGAATTTTTTAACTCTTTTAACCCATAATTTGATCACTATTTTGATTTTTTCCAGCCTGGAGCGTCACCATTTTTCGTCATGGACATGCCATCAGTGATGGCACGTGTTGACGATTGGCAAGAACGTCTACCACGCGTACAGGCATACTACGCTCTACGTTGTAATGCAGATCCCGTATTAGCCAGAATGCTAGCCGATTCAGCACAACTTGGATTTGCTGTCTCAAATGCTGAAGAATTGGCAATGGTGAATATAAGTCAAACTATTTTTTGCTACTAGTTTTATCCTTTAGTTCGATAAATTTTTACATCTTTGACGAAATTACTGAGCTCCATTCATGGGCAGGCGCCAGACTTATCCAGTTAGCACTGTTGCTGCTTCGTGATTGGTCAAACTGCTGAGCTGACCAGTCATGGAGCGCGTAAGCGACCGGATAAGTCTGACTCCTATAGAGACTCTTTTTCATGATTCTCGGTATGAATTTGCTCATCCAACATGTTTTCATTCTATGTCGAAAATATTTAGGCACTTGAACTTGTTTCGGCCGATCGAATCATCTT